TGTCAAACTTTTGGTGTCGATCATTCGATTTCATCCTGGACACTACAGAAAATGGGCTTAAAGTGTAAAAAACCGAACTTCTCCTTTAAGTGAAGTGTGTCTGGGCTGCAGGATTTGGGCGGCATCTCATTAAAATCACATAAAACAAAGGTATATGAGGTGTAAGTAACTTGTTTAAAAAAATGTTCTAATGTCTCAGTAACACTTTATTCAATTCATTTTATCTATATAGCATCAATTCACCACACGTCATCTCATGGCACTTAAGAGTTCACCAGATCACACAGTTAAATTGATTCAAATACCCCATTTACACTACCCTTGAAAAACCGATCCATGTTGAGACCGGTCCGAGCTCGGATCAGTTAACCAGGTCGAGCTTGGTTCTGACGACCATTTACACATCACGCAATCTCGGTTCCTCGACTCCTCGCCTCCTAGTGATGATCTGTGGTATTATTGCCAGTATTGAAGGAGAAAATCAAGCAGTTGGTGGTAGTAATGCACCAAAAGTTGTTTGCCAACTGCCATAAAACACAAGAAGAGAAGATTTCGATTGTTGTTTATAGTTGTTCTTCTTCTTCTGTTTTGTGTTGGTTGGCAAGCAACTTTTGGAGGGGCATTACCGCCAACTACTGGAATGGAGTGTGAATCGGGATGTGCAGCCAGACGGAGATGATGAGTTCTCTTGTGATCAGAGAACCGAGCCAGGGAAAATCCGAGCCGAGCCCACCTCTGGAACTGGTCTGCAGTTATCTCGGTCCGGTTGTGTCTAGCTCGGTTCAGTTTAATTTGCTTTCCATTTACACACGATAAGTTATCTCAGTTACTGAGCTCGGACCGGTCTTGGCACGGTTTTTCAAGGGTAGTGTAAATGGGGTAAAAATTTTCTAAAGAAAACCAGTTGATTGCGTCGACTCATTGACTCAATGACTTACCAGTACACAACTCAGTGAGCGAGCCACCAGAGCTGAAATTTTCCACCTAAAGTTTAGAAAATAAATAAATCTTAAATGGAAAAAGCTTAAAGTGAGATGAACTCTTTCAACAGCCATACATTTCTCTAGAGTTTTCAT